TACCTTTCGTGTGTGTGTGTGGGGGGGTTTTCCCCAGGTATTCTGGCTTACTGCCTGCCACATGCCAACTTCTGATCAATAATGGCATTGGACCAACATTCCCCGAGCGAGCGAGGTTTTCCTAGGTAAATAAGGGGCGTTATGAATACAGGTCAATGAAAATTACGAAAAAAAAACATGTTTGTGCTGCCTCTCGTGATTCGTCTCAGTTTGTTAAGGTGCCAAGCTTGGCGCCACAGCTGCCAACAGTCCACATATCCACAAGACAAAGATCCCCCGTTATGGCCTTAACAGACTTTTGGGGCAAGTGCTGTTAGTGAGAGTCTACGATAGGCGGCACGGCACACAAGGGGGATGTGGGTGGCCAGCGCCACGCCACTACCGCCACCGGAGCGAGTGTGAAGCAGTTTCCTGGGTACTCCTCCCCCCTCTAGGCTTCCGCGTGGCACTAGCGGGGTACAGGCACGGACACGCGCTGGAATTTCTGGGTCACCGGAGCGAGCGCGCAGCCAAAGTCGTCGGCGGCGGCGTTGTTCCAGAGGAGCACAAGCGTCAATGGGAGCGCTTCTTCTTGGCTGCTTGGCACAGCGCTGGGAGAAGAAGAGCCGTCATTGAGACCCCAAAGTCGACCAAACTATTCCCGTAAAAAGAATAATCATGGAATATTGCTCCTTGCCGCTGAACAGGGCACCCAGTCGGTCCCGATGGCGAGCGCTCCTACCAATAACATCGGGCAATCCAGCAGTTTAATAAGGCCTGACTCTGCTGATGAGACCCAAAAACGTCGAAAACGGTCCAGAGGTTGCTTTTCTAAACGATTCCTGGTGGATGCTATTGGTCTGGAAAGCTAATAGGGCCGATTGACTCAAACGTATATTTATATGTGGAGGCACAAAGCCAGGTTCCGCCTCGACATACTTCCAGCATGCTGTTACTGACAATTCTCCACAGCATCGCATATTAGCTTCGTACACTCTACAGGGACAGCGTGACTGATAAGACCACTCAGGATGCATATTAAAATGTGGTCGTCGCATGGCAGTTTGAATCGTAACACAAGTAACGTTGACGAGGATCATCGCCACGATCATCATCATCATCATCAGCCACAGTCTACCCACTGCTGGATGAAGGCCTCTCTCCACGCCGCTGCCGTCCCTCACGTGACGCTAAAACCAATCCGGCGCGGTCCGTGGCGCACCAGCGGATTTCATCGCTCCGTGTCATCGGGGGGGGGGGGGGCGGCCATCCTCTCCAGCACGATGCCCCACCTTTGGGGCTGTCGTTCCGTCACCAGTCTCATCCGTGATTGCAATCACCCCTTCTAGCCGTGGGGGGGGGGGGGCGGGGTGGGGGTCTCATCCCCAAAAAGCAACGCCCCCTCCTCGTCTCATGCATGCAGGCAGCGATAGGTGTTGGCATCGTGCATTGGTGAAATCAAACAGCCTCGGGCAAAGCGTAAACTGTGCCCGCCGCTCCTATGCATAGAAGGCGTTTAACAATTGCAATGAGAGCAAACGTTTTGTCTCGAGCGAGACGCACATTGAACGCAAGAGCGCATCTTCAAACAAGCCACCACAAAAGTGTGGGTGTTGGGGCCCTGTGCTATATTTACACCACGATGGGGTTGCACCTCCCACCCCACCGTCGCTTACAGCTTTAACGACGGTGAATGCAAGCAGGAAGGAAGAAAGCAAGCGGCAAGTAACGAGAACAGAGAGTCAGGGGTCTGCTTTGGGTGGCGGTGTCGTTACATAGGCCGTAAACAGAACAAACCCCGCATTAATTGTAAAAGCACAGATGAGCAGAACTCCGTTTCTGTAACTGCGCATATAAATGATACAATGCGTTTCAGTCCATCGCGCAGCAGTTGTTTAAGCAACGCAAAATCAGGTGGGGGTCTCTCGCCAAGAGGCAAATGACACTTCAAAATAAAAACGCTCACTGCCCCTCGGCGACAAACCGAAGGATATGGCACAGCTCACGTGCGCCACACGTTCGTGTGATGTTCTGTTTCATAACAAAGCAACCAGACACTGCCCGTGTCCAGCTCATGGGCAAATACTGTTCACTCGGTTATTTCCACACTCACCTCAGACTTCCATCCTCGCCACGCGTGCACGCGCACACGTGGGACACGTGTGCGCGTGCACGCAGACTAAGATCTCAATCTTAATTTTAAATCGGCTCCTATTTAACGCAGCGCGCGCTCATTGCTTAGCGCGTCACGTGGGACGCAATTGAACAATCGTGGGACCGCGTTTGCCAATCATCGGGCGCGTGCGGCGTGTGAACGAGTTCACTTTGTATTTTGAATGGCGAGGAGCAATTTGGTAAACGCGGAAAGGCGGAGCGTGGCAGTGGAGCGATGTCGCGCGGACTCGAGATTTGGGGCATTCTGCTCGTCTGCGATAGGCGCAGGAGCGAGGGGCTGGGGCCGAAATCACAACAGACAACGGCAGATCGCGAGGGTTGGCGTTCGTTTCAAGTTGGTTTAATGATGGCCGTGTGAAAAGCTCGCGTGAAAGCTCAACGCTCGAGACGCTTTGCCATTCGACTTGAGGCGTGCACACCGAACGGCGTTGTGTCGTGGCCGTGTGTGGATGTGTCCACGTGTGCGTGTGAATGTGCACCTGTGTGTGGATGTGTCTGTGTGTGTGGGGAGCGATAGTGTAGCGGTTAGCGCGCCGCACTACGAATCTGGCGACCCGAGTTTGATTCCCGCTCACGGCCGTCAACACCCAGTGACTATTATCTGAACCGATCCTGGGCCTCCCCTAGGTCGACTAAGCGTCAAATGAGTATCTGGTGCGGTGTGTAAACATCACCACTAGGGAGACAAAGGCGGCCGGGCGTGGTTGCTGGCCACCCACACCCTCGTGTGCCGTTCCGGCCTTCATAGGTGCTCGCTAACAGCACTTGCACCAACGGGGGATCTTTGTCTTTTGTGTGTGTGTGAATGTGTCCGTGTGTCATGTCGACCGCATGCCCGATCGCCGTATGTCCAAACGGCTTTTGTTCGGCCGGATCGAGGGGGCTAAACAGGCGCGGCACGGGCTAGAGAAGAGATGGAGTGATGTGGTACAGGAGGACGTGGAGCTGAGTGGACTTGCCGATGACTGGTACCAGTGGTGTCAAGATCGGCCTCTGTGGAGGAGGCTCGTGAAGGACGCTGCTACTGGGCAATTGGAGGCAGTCGTCCTCCAACAGCAACGGAGGGCGGAGGAGCGACGCTCACAACAACGAGCGGAGCGCCGGGTGGATAAAGCACAGCAAGTTGGCACAGTAGGGGGCACAGGTGGTGCATCAGCCACTCATCTCAGTCAGTCGGCCCGTGGCACCTGGTCTGTACCGTGACCTGCCAGCGAGCGTTCGACACTTTACGTGGCCTTAACGTGCACCTCAGTTCAGTTCCATTTATTTGGTATAGCCCTGTGAGCCATTCGGTTATTGAATCGGGTGCAACCGCAAGAAAAAACAAAAACATGAACCTAGCCTGGCACATGCGCCCTGGTGACGTCACCGACACTTAGTAGCGGTTGGTGTGTGTGAATGTGTCTGCGTACGTGTGTGGATGTGTGTGGATGTGTCTGCGTGTGTGTGGATGTGTCTACGTGTGTGTGGATGTGTCTACGTGTGTGTGGATGTGTCTGCGTGTGTGTCCGTGTGTGTGTGTCGATGTGTCTGCGTGTGTGTGGATGTGTCTGCGTGTGTGTGGATGTGTCTGCGTGTGTGTGTGGACGTGACAGAGTCAGCGTGTGTGTGTGGACGTGACAGAGTGTGTGTGTGGATGTGTCTGCGTGTGTGTGGATGTGTCTGCGTGTGTGTCCGCGTGTGTGTGGACATGACAGAATGTGTGTGTCTGCGCGTGTGTGTGTGTGGCTGCGCGTGTGTGTCTGCGTGTGTGTGGCTGTGTCCGTGTGAGAATTAAATGCTGCCAGTGCGAGTGCCACGAGGAGGGGGCCGTTTGTTTATGTCGGTGACGTCCCCATCAGCAGCTCAGAGTGAGCTGCTGAGACGCCGGATTATCGCCATCAATGCCAACACAACTCGGATGTTAATGCACCCACACACACACAGAGGCTGTTTACGGTTCGAGGTGCTGTTTGCGAGCACCTGTTACATTCCTCGGGCATGTGGTGTCGTGGCCAGCACCACGCCCGGCCGCGGCATTAAGTCTCCCCACAATGCTGACGTTGACACACGCGAGACCCGGCGAACACATTGCAGGCCCGGTAGACCCTCGGTGTGTTTGTGTGTGGGGCGGATCCCAAGGAGCGTTCATCAGCGGCCGGGGTGTCTCATCCGCTGCGCCACCGCTCCCTCCACACAGCAAAGGACAAACAGCACTGGCAAGACGGAGACAAAGACCCCCCTCACACCCCCCGTGTAGCCTCCACAGAGCGCCGGGGCAAGTGCCGGTCAGGCGAGCCTGCGAAGCACCGACGAGGATCCGCAAGGGCTCACGACGGGGTGATGGTGTGGGAGTGGACAGAAGCACGTCCGGGACGCCTTTGTCTCTCCCGTGGTGATGATGATGGGTTTTTTTTTTAAACACACACAGAGTCGACACAACAACTCCACAAACCCCAGCGTTGCCAGCTTACAAACGACAAAAAGCCCCAGAGATAATACGATTCACACCCCCACGACCACCACCATCACCTGCGCCGGCCAAACACATTGACAGGCACCCCCCCCCCCCCCCCCCCAAGTACAGACGCGACATTGACAATACATGAGACGGGGCAATGCACGCGCAAGTAAATCCGTACGATCAACTCTCATCATCATCTCACTCACCTCCATCTGCCCCCCCCCCATCACTGTTTGCTATGGATCCCTCGACCGAATCGTTGCCTATTGTAGTTTCACCAATTTGCCGATATATCGAGGTGTTGTACATGTGTGTGTATAAACACAGAGCAGTATATGACATCGTACAGTATATATTTAAACTGTGTGTTGTGTGTGCGCGCACGCTTGCTGTCTCCCCGTACCTTGAACAATTGTGCTTGCCAGTTGCCGCCACCACCACCACCAACAACAACCACTGGGAGGAATCTCTCTGTGCGAGAGACGGCGCGGTTTGTAAACTCGGGGGAGGTTATCAGGAGGCGGAGGGGGACGCCGTTCCAGACGCGCGCGAGTCGAGCGTCACTCAGCCCACAGCGAGTCGTGCTCCCGGCTGTTTATTCCTCGTTGTCCTGCGCCTCCCCCTCTGCCCCCTCCTCCTGCTGCTGCGACCACCCCCATCCCTCCCATCACCCCACGTCACGAGTTGTGTTGTTCTGTGCGTGTTCTGTGTGTGTGTCCTGTGCGTGTCCTGTGCGTGTGTGTCCTGTGCGCGTGTGTCCTGTGCGCGTGTCCTGTGCTCGTGTCCTGTGCTCGTGTCCTGTGTGCGTGTGTGTCCTGTGCGCGTGTCCTGTGTGCGTGTGTCCCGTGCGCGTGTGTCCTATGCGCGAGTGTCCTGTGCTCGTGTCCTGTGCGGGTGTCCTGTGCGCGTGTGTCCTGTGCGCGAGTGTCCTGTGCGCGTGTCCTGTGCTCGTGTCTTGTGCTCGTGTCCTGTGCGTGTGTGTCCTGTGCGCGTGTGTCCTGTGCGCGTGTGTCTTGTGCGGGTGTCCTGTGCGCGCGTGTCCTGTGCGCGCGTGTCCTGTGCGCGCGTGTCCTGTGCGCGCGTGTCCTGTGCGCGCGTGTCCTGTGCGCGCGTGTCCTGTGCGCGCGTGTCCTGTGCGCGCGTGTCCTGTGTGCGTGTGTCCTGTGTGCGTGTGTCCTGTGCGCGTGTCGTGTGCGTGTCCTGTGCGCGCGTGTCCTGTGTGCGTGTGTCCTGTGTGCGTGTGTCCTGTGCGCGTGTCTGCAGGGGGAGGAGTGATCACACTGCCACGTGTGGAGGAGGAGCGCGCGGGGGGGGGAGGGCGGTCTGAGGAGTGGTGGCGCTGTGGTTAGCGCAGCACCACGGCGACGATGCCGGCGACCCGAGTTCGATTTCCGCTCACGGCCAAAACAAACAAAAAACCCCGTAGCGAATATATGAACCACGTGAAATTTACTGAAGAATTCTGTCACCGACCTTAAGTCTGGTGCGGATATAACCTTTTATTACCTTTAAATTGCATGGGCCTCGAGAACACTGCTCCGCTGATAAATCACATTTAAATGTCTTGCATTTACATCGCACAGACGTGTTCGGCATCCCTCCTCTACAGCGCTCCGAGACGCCGTTAGTAATACGAAGGTGTTTATATATTAAAGTACACGTAAAATATTGATGAATTAAAGGTTCAATATTTACCAGGAAATTCCTGACCGAATCACGAAGCTCCTTTTACAAAAGTATTTGGCCCTGGCTCTTTATTCCAGATCCTTTTTTGGGAGTATTTTTTTTTCCCCACTTCATTGAAGGAGACGAAGCGCGCCCGGAGAAATCCCCTACACACGGGGGGGGATAACCACGCATGTGTGGTAAAGACAGCTCGCCAACCTATACGGTGCACCTCCTCCAATAGATCACGCGATGATATCCCGTGTAGGTGGGTGGTCTTATGCAATGTTACGTTCGCATCGACCCCGCGACACAAAGCCCCGGATTGCACGCTCCGTGCTACCCAATACAGAAGAACAATCAGTAGCAGCGCCGTGGAGGATGCAAGTGCAGTGTAACATCATCAATAAGCAGACGATTACCCCTCCCTGCACGTACAACTGTCGACTTTTATTTTACACATCCCATCGGCCACCGCGGTCTTCTGGGAGTGCTTTCAGCAGCATTGGTTCAACACAAGCACACGCCTGACCGGTGTCGAGATTCAGCGTCTCGACACCCAGCGATCAACACGCGCGCCCGTCGCTTGGTTCACAAAGTATCTATTAGAGGAGGCAGACGCCAAATTTCGGCATCCTGAAAATAGCATTCCCATCTCATTTCGTGTCCGTCAAATCAACTTAGATCACTGATAAGAACCTTGGTGGGGGGGGGGCCTCACTGCCCTCCCCCAGTAACGGTGCTGAAACATCATCAGCTGGATACGGCCCCCACTCTGGCAGACGAGGCTGGAAGGGAGCGAGCGAGTGAGCGAGGCTCCATGGCCTGCCGCTCCTCCACCACGGGACGCAGCTCTCGTGTTCTGGGCCCGGTGGAGAAGGATACCGCCCCCCCCCCCTACCCCACCGAGCCGAGGGGGGTTCACTCGGCAGCAAAGGCGGCTGTACGGAGGCCGTCCGGAGGGGGCATCGGGCCCCCCCCTGCAGACCACCCCCGCCGCCGAGTCTGCTGGGCAGCACGAAAGGAGTCTCTGCGATGAACATGACCACGGAGCGACTGGCGAACTTGAGAGACGAGTTCTGTTGAGCTGTTCTGCCGAGGTAAACGTGAGCAAAAGCAAACAAAACACTCGCGTATTTTCTAACAAGTTTGCCAAGAGAAAATCACTGTCGGAGGGGATACAACAGGAACACACAGCTACCGGACGCGGACTGGGATCAAGGTGATTAACCCAACAGGCGCCGATGAGAGTGCTGTTGCAAAGCCGCAATCGACACGGACAAGCAACGTTCGTGGAGACAATGTCGTCAATCTGCGACGATACGACCTGCCCGTGATGCATGCGATGAAGGAAATATGAAATGCGAGCTGGAAAGCGTGGAGACAGGCACGGGTGGGACTACACCGGCATCGCAGGATTGAGGAACACATGGGTCAGAGAAACGGCGTGTGGAAGACCGTTCGGAAAAGCACGTGGGCTTGCGGACGACACAACCGATAGCAGCGATGAGGTGCCGATGAACGAGACTAGCGACGGAATGGCAACCTCCGATCCGCCTCAAGTGGCCTCCTTGTCAAGCCCGTGGTCCATCGCATCGGACGAGGGGAACGCCGCTCCCTCTCGCTCAGCACGTCTTGGGAGTTCGCTCCCTGCCCTGTCGCCTCGCTTGTCTTGGGAGTTCGCTCCCTGCCCTCTCGCCCCGCTCGTCTTGGGAGTTCGCTCCCTGCCCTGTCGCCTCGCTTGTCTTGGGAGTTCGCTCCCTGCCCTCTCGCTCTGCACGTCTTGGGAGTTCGCTCCCTGCCCTGTCGCTCTGCACGTCTTGGGAGTTCGCTCCCTCCCCTCTCGCTCTGCACGTCTTGGGAGTTCGCTCCCTCCCCTCTCGCTCTGCACGTCTTGGGAGTTCGCTCCCTGCCCTCTCGCCCCGCTCGTCTTGGGAGTTCGCTCCCTGCCCTCTCGCTCCACTCGTCTTGGGAGTTCGCTCGCTGCCCTCTCGCTCCACTCGTCTTGGGAGTTCGCTCCCTCCCCTCTCGCTCTGCACGTCTTGGGAGTTCGCTCCCTCCCCTCTCGCTCTGCACGTCTTGGGAGTTCGCTCCCTCCCCTCTCGCTCTGCACGTCTTGGGAGTTCGCTCCCTGCCCTGTCGCTCTGCACGTCTTGGGAGTTCGCTCCCTCCCCTCTCGCTCTGCACGTCTTGGGAGTTCGCTCCCTCCCCTCTCGCTCGGCACGTCTTGGGAGTTCGCTCCCTGCCCTGTCGCTCTGCACGTCTTGGGAGTTCGCTCCCTCCCCTCTCGCTCTGCACGTCTTGGGAGTTCGCTCCCTCCCCTCTCGCTCTGCACGTCTTGGGAGTTCGCTCCCTCCCCTCTCGCTCTGCACGTCTTGGGAGTTCGCTCCCTCCCCTCTCGCTCTGCACGTCTTGGGAGTTCGCTCCCTCCCCTCTCGCTCTGCACGTCTTGGGAGTTCGCTCCCTCCCCTCTCGCTCTGCACGTCTTGGGAGTTCGCTCCCTCCCCTCTCGCTCTGCACGTCTTGGGAGTTCGCTCCCTCCCCTCTCGCTCTGCACGTCTTGGGAGTTCGCTCCCTACCCTGTCGCTCTGCACGTCTTGGGAGTTCGCTCCCTCCCCTCTCGCTCCACTCGTCTTGGGAGTTCGCTCCCTGCCCTCTCGCTCCTCTTGTCTTGGGAGTTCGCTCCCTCCCCTCTCGCTCTGCACGTCTTGGGAGTTCGCTCCCTCCCCTCTCGCTCCACTTGTCTTGGGAGTTCGCTCCCTGCCCTGTCGCCTCGCTTGTCTTGGGAGTTCGCTCCCTGCCCTCTCGCCCCGCTCGTCTTGGGAGTTCGCTCCCTGCCCTGTCGCCTCGCTTGTCTTGGGAGTTCGCTCCCTGCCCTCTCGCTCTGCACGTCTTGGGAGTTCGCTCCCTGCCCTGTCGCTCTGCACGTCTTGGGAGTTCGCTCCCTCCCCTCTCGCTCTGCACGTCTTGGGAGTTCGCTCCCTCCCCTCTCGCTCTGCTCGTCTTGGGAGTTCGCTCCCTGCCCTCTCGCCCCGCTCGTCTTGGGAGTTCGCTCCCTGCCCTCTCGCTCCACTCGTCTTGGGAGTTCGCTCGCTGCCCTCTCGCTCCACACGTCTTGGGAGTTCGCTCCCGCCCCTCTCGCTCTGCACGTCTTGGGAGTTCGCTCCCTCCCCTCTCGCTCTGCACGTCTTGGGAGTTCGCTCCCTCCCCTCTCGCTCTGCACGTCTTGGGAGTTCGCTCCCTGCCCTGTCGCTCTGCACGTCTTGGGAGTTCGCTCCCTCCCCTCTCGCTCTGCACGTCTTGGGAGTTCGCTCCCTCCCCTCTCGCTCTGCACGTCTTGGGAGTTCGCTCCCTGCCCTGTCGCTCTGCACGTCTTGGGAGTTCGCTCCCTCCCCTCTCGCTCTGCACGTCTTGGGAGTTCGCTCCCTCCCCTCTCGCTCTGCACGTCTTGGGAGTTCGCTCCCTCCCCTCTCGCTCTGCACGTCTTGGGAGTTCGCTCCCTCCCCTCTCGCTCTGCACGTCTTGGGAGTTCGCTCCCTCCCCTCTCGCTCTGCACGTCTTGGGAGTTCGCTCCCTCCCCTCTCGCTCTGCACGTCTTGGGAGTTCGCTCCCTCCCCTCTCGCTCCTCACGTCTTGGGAGTTCGCTCCCTCCCCTCTCGCTCTGCACGTCTTGGGAGTTCGCTCCCTACCCTGTCGCTCTGCACGTCTTGGGAGTTCGCTCCCTCCCCTCTCGCTCCACTCGTCTTGGGAGTTCGCTCCCTGCCCTCTCGCTCCACTTGTCTTGGGAGTTCGCTCCCTCCCCTCTCGCTCTGCACGTCTTGGGAGTTCGCTCCCTCCCCTCTCGCTCCACTTGTCTTGGGAGTTCGCTCCCTGCCCTCTCGCTCCACTCGTCTTGGGAGTTCGCTCCCTGCCCTGTCGCTCTGCACGTCTTGGGAGTTCGCTCCCTCCCCTCTCGCCCCACTCGTCTTGGGAGTTCGCTCCCTGCCCTCTCGCTCCACTCGTCTTGGGAGTTCGCTCCCTCCCCTCTCGCTCCACTCGTCTTGGGAGTTCGCTCCCTCCCCTCTCGCTCCACTCGTCTTGGGAGTTCGCTCCCTCCCCTCTCGCTCCACTCGTCTTGGGAGTTCGCTCCCTCCCCTCTCGCTCCACTCGTCTTGGGAGTTCGCTCCCTCCCCTCTCGCTCCACTCGTCTTGGGAGTTCGCTCCCTCCCCTCTCGCTCCACTCGTCTTGGGAGTTCGCTCCCTCCCCTCTCGCTCCACTCGTCTTGGGAGTTCGCTCCCTCCCCTCTCGCTCCACTCGTCTTGGGAGTTCGCTCCCTCCCCTCTCGCTCCACTCGTCTTGGGAGTTCGCTCCCTGCCCTGTCGCTCTGCACGTCTTGGGAGTTCGCTCCCTCCCCTCTCGCTCCACTCGTCTTGGGAGTTCGCTCCCTGCCCTCTCTCTCCACACGTCTTGGGAGTTCGCTCCCTGCCCTCTCGCTCCACTCGTCTTGGGAGTTCGCTCCCTGCCCTCTCGCTCCACTCGTCTTGGGAGTTCGCTCCCTGCCCTCTCGCTCCACACGTCTTGGGAGTTCGCTCCCTGCCCTCTCTCTCCACACGTCTTGGGAGTTCGCTCCCTGCCCTCTCGCCCCGCTCGTCTTGGGAGTTCGCTCCCTGCCCTCTCGCTCCACTTGTCTTGGGAGTTCGCTCCCTCCCCTCTCGCTCCACTCGTCTTGGGAGTTCGCTCCCTCCCCTCTCGCTCTGCACGTCTTGGGAGTTCGCTCCCTCCCCTCTCGCTCCACTCGTCTTGGGAGTTCGCTCCCTGCCCTCTCGCTCCACTTGTCTTGGGAGTTCGCTCCCTCCCCTCTCGCTCTGCACGTCTTGGGAGTTCGCTCCCTCCCCTCTCGCTCCACTTGTCTTGGGAGTTCGCTCCCTGCCCTCTCGCTCCACTCGTCTTGGGAGTTCGCTCCCTGCCCTCTCGCTCCACTCGTCTTGGGAGTTCGCTCCCTCCCCTCTCGCTCTGCACGTCTTGGGAGTTCGCTCCCTCCCCTCTCGCTCTGCACGTCTTGGGAGTTCGCTCCCTGCCCTCTCGCTCCACTCGTCTTGGGAGTTCGCTCCCTGCCCTCTCGCTCCACTCGTCTTGGGAGTTCGCTCCCTGCCCTCACGTTGGGCCGCACATCTGTGTCGGTGCCGTCCCGCCTTCCGTCAGAATCTCAAGACGTTTTTTGCCCCCCCCTCCCGCGCCTCTGGACATCCTTTTTCTCGAGTGAAATTAGTGCCGCGCTACAAGACGCTCTCGACGAATGAGATGCTACGCAAAACGTCGTTTCGTCGGCCTGCGACAGTTCCGAACGGACTCAATCCGGATTGAAATTGGGGGGGGGGGGGGGGTGTGGAAGGGCAAATACAAAAAAACTCAAACAACGTGCCACTGCAGCTTAAGGGGAGTTCTCCGGAAATGAAATGAGGCCACGCATCATTAGGCTTGGCCTACGCTTTGTAATCGGCACTCTGCGGTCACAGAATGTGCTGCAGAACAACGCAACCTGAAGCGACAGCACGGACGTAATCCCAAAATCACATTCTCCGTAATCCCAATGCAATTCAGCCCGTCCGTACTGTACGTATAGAGCCCCCCCAACCGTACTGTACGTGTATGTAGCACCCCCTACCGCAAGCGTTTCGATGCATTCTGCCCGCACTTCTATAACGGGTGTCAAAAATAATTCCGACATAAATTGAAGCCTTTCGTACAAGGATGAATGCAATATCTAGCCACTCGTAGCGAGCCCCAAACAATCCCAAACGATATACAAAAGAGTATCAATTTCCCGCACCTCTGATTAGAACCGTTGGCTACGTATGGTCCGAAAGAAGTTAAACATTTTATACAATTCAAATAATTCACGAGCCCTTTTGTCAATTCACTGCTGGATGAGGGCCGCTCCTCACAGGACAGGTGCTGCATGGTTATTTAACCGTACTTCTCCACGCTGGTCAGTGCGAGTTGGTGAAGGTTGGGACCACAAACACGGGAGCATCCAAGTATGATACAACAATGGATTGTGCTATCCACAATGTAGCCCTGCCTGCCCGTGGCACGAACCAGAGAGAGCCTC